TGTGGAGGGCAGTGTCACCGGCCCTCATATGTGGGATCCGAACCGGGGCCCTCTGGCGTCCCAAGCCAGTTCTTAACCAACGCGCCACTCGGCCGTCCCGGCTGCTTTTTCAGGTGCTCTAGGCAGAGAAGTCACCTGCTCACTTGCCCCACCCACCCCACAGCTTTGGCTGATTTCCATCCCCACACGTTTACACCTATTGTTCCACATACATATACACAGCCTGGCTTTGTGCCTGATCTGCAGTGACCTGAGGCCATAGAGCCACATGGCTTCAAACTAGAGGTCAACACCAAAGAACAGGGACTTTGCCCTCACCTATGTGCCTTCACCTGCCCCCTGGGACTCGCGGCAGGCCTGCCTCCCTGGCTGGCTCACCCAGCTGTTTACCAGATCAAAGCCCAGTGACCCCAGGCGCCTGGCCACTGCATAGGCCACTTGTCCCAGCACACCCACCCCTAAGCCAAACCAAGTGTCATCCTAGATGCTAGGATGGTTGAAATTTAACCATCAGGTTCATGGTTTGGGTGAATTTTTACAGTAAGAGGTGGGTCCAATTCACTCCACGACTGTCCCAATCAAAGTAAGGACACATAGTAGGAAAAATCACCCTCTATTGGGCTCCGAGGGGAACAGACAGACCCAAGATGCTAAGGACCTTGATGTTGGGCAGGAACCATCCGAAGTCCTCAGGCTTCTCCGTCTTGGTCAAACGGGTGTGGAGGACTCTACAAAGTCATCTGCTAAGGCCAGAGCGACCGTGCTCTCAGCTTCCCTGTGCACAGAGAAATAGGAATAATGCTTGTAAGTAGAATTTCTTAGATTTCTTCAAATCCTCAAATTTCCCCAAATGCAATTTTGATGTTTGTCCAATGTTATGGTGTCTTTCAAAATGGAAGACAGTCCGGAGCTAGAATGCTTGGGTTCACATTTCCACTCTGTCTCTTTTCCCATGGGTGACCTTGGGCAAGTCCTTTAACCTCAGATTTACACGGTGGTTGGGGAAGGTAAGAGGCTTGGAACAAGACAGGTAGCAAGTGCCGCTTCCCCCGCAAGAAGAGCTGTGATTATGCAGCATCCAGCCCTGACAGACGGAAGGAGCCTGTCATTCGAGCTGCAGAACCCCTCCAGCAGAAAACGTTCTCAGCAAACATGCACTAAACAGAACCATCCAAGCAGCCCTGTCGTGAGACTGCCCCGTGTCAGCCTCACCCTGACGTTGGCGCAGTTAATGCTCTTTGAACTTGGAATCATCATTCCCTCTTTCTGGGTCTCAGATTCTTCCTGTCAAATAAAAGGCCCACGTTGAAGGCTGAAAAGTTGGCTTCTGATGTAACTATTTCACAATTTCCAAAGTTGGGGTAGTTGAGAGAGCAGGGGCTTCAGAGCCAGTTGCTCCGGCGGGGTGGGCACAAAGCACACGTGTCCATGGTGAGAGCTGGGCGGGTTGCTTCACCTCCCTGAACCTCAGTTTTCTCATCTCTAAAACTGAGTGTTACATGGGGCAGCGTAAAGATGAAACGATGTGAGTGGGAAGCTTGGAACACACCAGGCTCTCGGTGAGCATCATAGCTCCTTCCAGTTCATCTGTTGGTCCACACCTGAGGACGATGCCCAACTCTCTTGTCTCAAAACCACAGGGCAATTTACAGAAGCACTGCAGCTCCACTTGGGTTCCTGGTAGGCCAGAACTCAGGCCTGCGAAGGTGAGAGCAGGCAGCCTAGGGTGTGCTGGACCACACCTCTCGGGGTGAGCTTGGGCTTCAGCTCCAAGAAGACTTCAGGGGTTCCTATAGGTCTTACAGAGCAGGAACCCAGGGAGTCCTCCAGGACATGGCATGGAGACAGAAACCAAAGTCACCGGGATCCACATCAAACCCCTTACCCAGAAGGAGATGGGATGAAAAGCTTGCCCCAAACCCTAACCCTGGTCCTTTCAGTTACCCCACACTCAGAGTAGGGTCCCCAGACCAGCAGCAGCACCACCTGGGAGCTTGCTATAAAATGCAGAACCTCAGGCCCCACCCTAGACCTACCTGTAAATTTCAAACCATACAGCAGTGCATATGTTCATATAGAAGGACCCTCCCCCCGCCCCCCAACACCCATTCTCAGGGAGGCAACTGCTGTGACTAGTTTGCAGTGCAGCCTTCTGACACTTTCCCTCATGCACATAGAAATGTATCCACACACACACAAGACTTGTCAAAAAATAAAAGTACCTCCCTTTATGCTGACCTGCACCTTGGTTTTCTTAACTGTGGACATTTCCACAATTGTGTCTCAGTACCTGACCCTATGTCGTACGACCATAAAGTGCATCCGACCACCTCGATGGAATCCTGGCCCCACCACTGTGTGGATGTGTGACCCTTGGCAAGCTTATTAACTTCTGTGGGGCTCAGTTTCCTCACCTGCAAAAGGTGGGTAATAATAAGAGTACTTATCACACAGCGCACTTGGAAACATGAAATGAGGTGTTACGTGGAAAGGCTTAGACCAGAACCTGGCACCTCAGAAGCACTCTCCGTGCATTGTTATCATCACCATGGGCCAAAGTATGCATATTCCTGTATTTAACCATTACCCTGGTGGGTGACATCCAATTATTAACTATTGCAAACCATAACTCTCCCACATCTTTGCACACTTGTGCAGGACAGAGTAACAGTAACTTTGTATCGAGTGCCTCCATCAGTGCATGCTGCAGTCATCACACAGCTGGCAGGGGAACCCTAGGGCACTGTTATTTCAGTTCCACAGTAAACGGGATTTATTCTGCCATACAGGGAAGACTATAACTTCCTGAGGAATTCGTTTCTCTCCTTCAGTGTTTTATTTATTGGGATTTGGCAGAATATTTCATTTGGGGGAAAAAAAGGAAGTTGGTTACTAAAAATGATTGAGAATCAACTGGTGGTTTGGCCCAGAGAGAAAAAATCAAAGAGTTATACAATGTTTGGAAATAATTTCAGGGACCATTTCATTTAAGGGTTCCCCGGCCGTATCTCAGTATGTGCGGAAGCTACCTTTCACTGATGGTGCATATCTCTTCTTTTTTTTTTTTTTTTTAAAGATTTTTTTTTAATTGGGGAATTGGGGGGATGGGAACAGTGCTGGGGAATTGGGGGAAGGGGAACAGACAAGTTGCTGTCGTTTTGTTCTTCAGTCTAGTTGTGGAGGACGTTGCTTCACTGGCCCAAGTTGGCACCATCATTGCGCTCTTCTCTGGCGAGGCAGATCAGTCGCCGGCTTCAGGACGGCCGCTCACTGCGGCTGCTGGCCGCTCACGCTGGCTGCTGGCCACACACGGTAGCCCATGGCAATCCACTGCCACAGGGACTGCAGCCCATGCCGTCGCCGGCGACTCATGGCAGCCCAGCTCCAGGCTGAGCTGTTGTTCAGCATCTTAGCTGTGGAGGGCAGTGTCACTGGCCCTCATATGTGGGATCCAAACCAGGGCCCTCTGGCATCCCAAGCGAGTTCTTAACCATCACGCCACTCGGCCGGCCCGGTGCATATCTCTTCTTACGTCTGTCATCGGTGATGTCCACGTTGGTAGCTTAAAATCGGCGACACCATGATAATTGGCAAACACTACACATCAGGTCTTCTTATTCCCTGGCAGAGCCAGTGATTAAACTTTCACCAGCACACCGATGCATGTACACTTTAATAGGTACCTTGCTCATGTGTCTGCAGGGATTCTTGGGTTTGCCTCACACCGGCTGGGTGGGCTGAGCTCCGAGCTGGGGGCGTGTCCCGCTCTGTTCAACGTGTCTCTCATTCTTCCCTGCACTTGGGCCGGTGCTGGACCCACAGGAGGAGAACTATGAATATTTGTGGAATGATGGGAAAAGAGGATAATTCTTTACCTTTATTACTTCCCGTCAGAGAGCTGCTTTAGTTATGGCAAGACTTACTTTGCTGACACCAGCTTCGGCCTGGAGATACATGGCCGACTCAAGCAAACATTGGAAACCAATTCAGGATTCAAGCAGTGTCCCCTCTTTGCAGGCTGCGATCGGCAACACCATTTTACTCTGTGGCAAGGATGGTGTTCCATGCACACGTTTCATGGTCAGTGGCCCCTTCATGCAGTTCCACAAATGCAACCTAAAAACTCACAGTCTTCTGCACCTTACATCTCTGTGTTGGGGTGGGGGGGGCCAGCTGAGTCCCCGGTTAGAGGAGGGCTGCCTCTGTGGAACTCAGCTGCTCCCATGTTCCATCAATGTTCAGGGTTGTGCAGCCTTGTTGAATCCTTGTTTCCCCACAAGGATCGACGCGAGGGTGGTTTGTGAGGGCTGCACTGTTTGTGAAGTGTCGCTTCCCATCAGACACAATCGTGGTTGTGGCTCAGAGGGCCTTGGAGAGGGAACAGATGATGGAAGGCTGGGACAGCGCTGAATTAAAGAGGGAGGCTGGGACAAAGGACATGAAGACAAAGGTCCAGGCCAATTATCCAGCTCTGAGTCTGTTGTCATCCACTATCCATCATGACCACGAGAAGGTAGCAGGAGCGAGGGGTGCTTTAGGGCATTGGACGGGGGTCTCTGCAGGAGGAAAGGTGTCTGCTGGCTGTAAGGCAGGAGCTGGAGCTAACATGGATTCCACAAGCTATCTCATCTAATTTCAGCCAACCTGCTGTTATCATCCACGATTATTCTTGTGCTTATGGATGAGGAAACTGAGCCTGAGAGTGTGGGGTGGGAGACAGGGAGAAGGTTAAAGAACCTGCCCGATAACTCAGGTAGGGAACAGGAACTGGGAGAGCTGGGTTATTTGGCCACAAATGTGTCTTTCCCCCTATATAATGTTGAAAACTTTAACACAAGATTAATCATCAACACTTAAATGGGGAAACATCGTAGGAAAATCTGCATTTTTATCCCCTCTTGAAAAATCTAAAGATCTGGCAACAGATGCTGCCATGCCCTCCAGACTGCCACAGTCTCCACCTCTCCCTACTGCCTCCCAGCACCAGGGTGAGAGTCAGCTGCCTCATTTACATTACCTGCCAGGCTGTATCCCAGGAATCACGTAGGATGACTGCCAAGGCCCCACTCTGCCATCGCAGCCTCCACTTCTGGGATTCCTGAGCACTGGGTCTTTCAGATGCTTGGATGTTTCTTGCCCATGAAGAACCCACATGGTCATGTCCTGTATGTGGAAAGTGGCACCTCTTCACTGTGCTGCCCTCCAGGTCCCGACTCTGTGCCCATCCCTAGCTTGCTCTCAAATCTACATGTAAATAATTTTTTAAAAAATTTATATATAGAGAATTACCTTCAGCAACATGTCCACTTTTATAGGGAAAGCAGACACAAGAATCTAATGGTGGAATTTCAGGCCTTGGGTGGTCGTTGTCAGAACGGTGTGTGTGGGGGGGAGAGGGTTAGGGTTAGGGCTAGGGTTAGAGTTAGGGTTAGGTTAGAAACCCCTCAAGGGTCCACAAAGAACAGAGAAACCCCTGCCAGGTCTGGGTGGCAGCCCAGAACAGCAGGAACCTGGAGAAAGAGGGATGGGGGAGTCATTCTGCTTTATTTTCTTGCTGTTGGAGTACTTTCACTTCCTCCTTGTGGGAGACTGAAGTTTTAGCCCTACTGTCCAGGCGGGTGTGATGTGATGGGAAGAGGTTCTGAACCACTCTGCGCTCTGCCTTCCTCCCCACCAACGGCCCTCACCCACCTGCTTCCCCGGGGCTGGGCTGGAACCACAGGGCGTGGACTTCCTGGGACAGCACTGTGACAATGGCCACGAACCAATGTACTGCAGAAAAATTGGTGTCTGGGAGTGATCCAGAGAGGGCATGGAGTGGGGTCCCTGCACAGGTACACAGCTGACCATCTGCTGTCCCCCAGGCTTTATGCTGGGCTGGCTCTTCTGGGATCTCTGCCTTCTGCCTGTGAGACTCAAGTAAGGTCCATCCATCATCAGAGTCTCCTTCTCTCCCTTCTCCCTGCCCACAGTGCACCCCCTCTGGAAGGGCCCGACCTCTGTGCCAGGGGGCACCCGGCAATCCCCCATCAACATTCGCTGGAGGGACAGCGTCTATGACCCCCAACTGCAGCCTCTCCGGGTCTCCTATGATGCGGCGACCTGCCTCTACGTCTGGAACACCGGTTACCTCTTCCAGGTGGAATTTGACGATGCCACCGAAGGGTCAGGTGAGCCCGACTTGGGGTTTGAAGCCTTTCTCTTCTCCTGTCACACCCTAAGAGTGGGGTCATGGGTTTAGCAGAAGAGACAAGAGCTTTGCTTCCATACAAAGTTTGAGGACAAGGAACAGCATTGCAGAGGCAGGAACAGGAAAAATTCGTCAAGGTTCTCAGTGGGGCTCTCAGGGGGGTGATGCTCATTTTAAAGATTGCAATGCCAATCACCCACATTCACACAGTTTAACTAGGGACAAAACCACGAACAAAGACTCTTCCCTCATGGCTTACATTTCAGGGACTGGGGAGGAAGCAACACTAAGCTAAGAAAAATGCAAATACATTGCACATGAGAGGAGAAACACAGAGGAAGGCAGAGGAGAGAGGCGTAGTGGTGGTGAGGCCTGAAAGGAGAGGAGGAAGGAAATTGTGCCTACAGTGAGGCGAGGCATCTAAAGCCTGATCACCTCGCTGGTTCCTACTCAGAGTGACGTAGGCCACCAGTACACACCGACCTGGCTGATGTTTTATATGGATGCCCAGCTACTGTGGGAAGATGGGCAGGGAGGCAGGAGGGAGGCCCCAGAAGCCACCAACCCCTCACTGGGTCCCAGTGCTCTGGAAGGGCGTTACATGAACCAGCTCATTAAATCCTCCCCAGGGTGCTCAGGAGTTTGGGGTGGCTGCTCCATCAGGGTGGGGGTGTTTCTTTCTATGCTATTTGTCAGGGTTGGCTGCTCCGTTCCAGCTGGTGTTTTTTCAGTCCCTTTTGGTATCATCATAAGGCTTGTTAATGCTGACCATCTGTTTTCTTTCTGGGACTTGGGGATGTTCCTACATACAGGACAGAGGGTACCCATGTGACCTCCCCCCACCCCCATCCCCCCAGTGAAAACCTTGGGCACCAAGTCTCCTATGGGTGTCCCTGGTGGACACCACTTCACACGTGTTGTCAACAACTCATGGCTGCGGGAGTCAGTACGTCCCTGTGAGTCCACCAGAGAGAGGACACTGGAAGCTGGCACCTGGTCCCCTCCAGACATCGCCGTGTGTACCTTTTCCCTTGGCTGATTTTGCTTGTATCCTCTTGCTGCAATAAACCTTAGCCTTTCTTGGCCAGTCCTCGATCTATCTCCTTCTACATGCCCAGTTATCTTGTTCACTTACCTGTTGCCCTGGCCTGGAGGTAAACTCCACAAGAGCACTCCAAACTGTGTGTGCTGGCCTCCTTGAAGCCTAGGGAGAGAGACTGGGTGGTAAGCGAGGCCCAGCCTCACCTGCCTCACCTGCCTCACCTGGATGACTGGATGGCTGCAGCAGAGGGCAGAGAGCCCTTTTTCCCTGTGCAGGCCCTGTGCTCCATGCACACCACGCTCAGCCTTTCCAGGTCTCTGTCCTCATCTCACAGGTGAGAAGGAGCTTGCATTTGCTGAGCAGCTGCCTATGTGCCTGGAGCTGGTCGTGGTTCTTGGTCAATCTTCGCAGTAACACTCAGGGATGCTTCTCATGTAGGACTCCTCAAATGCAAGGGACAGGAACCTCAACTCTGGCCAACATAAGCAAAGAGGAACTTCTTGGAAGGTTAAGCCTAGCTCAAAGAAAAGCAAGGGAAAGTTGGACATCCATATCTTGGAAAGCACAGGAACCAGACCAGCTCAGGGCTCCAGGGAGCAGGGGTTATGCATTTATTTACTGAGCACGCCAACTTTTTGTCTGCCCTTGGTGGTCTGCTCCAAGTTCAAATTCCCAAGGAGCAACTGAAATTGGTTTTTCAGGTTTAATATGGTTTGTATTACTTTTAAACATTTTAGGCAGCAACTTTAAAAGACCGAATAAAGGATAATAGTTCCTGAACTTTTAACGGCTTGGTTAATAGTTTTGTGAATATACCAATAATTTTCAGAAAAACAGATATGGCTGTAGATGAGCTATTATTACATAACTCATATTCCTTCTATATAATTTTTGTGGATAGTTATGGGTCTTCCTGATATCTATATAACAGATTTATTTTCCTTTAAGCCATAAAATAAAAAAAAAACTTTGAAGGTTGCTTTGGGCTTTTGTATGAGTATTGTTAAGATACATTTGACAAATTAATTCAGATTCCCAGGGGAAAGGGTCTGGGTGGCTGAGCTTGACATCCACTTAGTCCTCGGTCAGTGGGGCACCAGATACCCTGACCCATATCCTCACCAAGACCATACTTTCAGGGATCTAGTGGTCCTAGGGGAAATTGCAGTGCTGTTTCTAGAAGGCGGGAGGTGTGCTGGACAGACAAGCAAACACCCTCTTTAAAAAGCACCACCATCTGATGAATAACAGCACACACAAAACAGAGACACCGCTGTGGAAAGTATTGGGATCCTCATTCTATGCAAGGAGAAACGAAGGTTCAGAGCGGGAGTAACTCATTCATTCAAGGTCAAGTGGCAGGGGAGTAGAGGGGTCAGGTTTAAGCCCATTTCTGACTGATTCTAAAGCCCTCATCAATCACTTACTGGCCCTTTGTCAAGGGCTTCTCTCCAACAAACTCGAGTATTCCTTGTAACAACTGTGTGAGACGCATATTATTCCCCATTTGACCGGTGAGAAAAATGAGGCTCAGAGAGATTCACAGCCAGAGGTCACAGAGCCCTCACAATGAGATTCTCCACTCTCCAAAGAAGGGAATTTTAGGAGCATGAATGCTCTACGGAAGGAATCTGCAACCAACACCCACAGGGTTCAGGCACGAGGCCAGAGGTGTTAACCAAAACGTAACAAAGGAAAGCACTGGTACATGGGTTGAATGTGGTCAAGCTCATGTCAGGTCCCCAGAAGAGCCAGCAGCCTGCTCAGGGGCCAGGCGGGTTCCTGGCTCAAGCCCAGCCAAGCCTGTGTCCAGCGTGTGCACACCAATGGGAGGGCCAGTGAACAGTGAGTTGTCTGGGGCACCCATCCCTCACCCACCAGCAAGAAGACATCTATGTCCAGACCCTCCTGATAGGTGGAGCAGGGATGTCTCTGATGCTTCAAGGGCTCAATTGTGTATATTAGTTTTATTTGGGTGTCTTACAGCATGTGTGCTGTGCATTAGAATCTAGTTGTCCCTGTGCCTTATGGGAGTTTAGGCTAGGAAACTAGACTATCGCAGGTGTCAGCTATCTCACGAATCACACGTCAAGGCCTCCTTAGTCAAGAATGTCAACCTCTTGAAATTTACCCAAACCTTAAATCATAAAAGTGGGTGTGGCCGGTCAGAACAACCCTTTCACTGGCTTCAGTGATTGGTCCAGAGGTAGGCCTGTGACTCAAGACAGGCCAACCAGAGCCAAAGAGTTTTTCTTGGAAATGTTCAAAGAGAACCTCTCTTTCTGCCTGCATACTGGGGTCACCTGCACGCCTGGTCCTGAGGGTCCATAGAGGAGAACAAAGCCAAGAAGTGGGAAAAAATTGAGGCCCAAGGCCATTGCAGGTATGCCTGAAGCCAAAGTAGCCCCTGAGAGACTGATCAATCTCTTTTTTGCTTCAGTCAGTTTAAGTTTCAGTCACTTGTTTCCAAGAGTCCTAATACAAGTAGACAAATAAAAAGTGATTAAGAGAGAAGAAATAGAAGAGGAGCAGCTGGAGAATTGCCAGTTTCAGTCTTTTCAATCTTTGTTCAAATGGAATTCAGCCGTAGGCTGGGTCTGTGCTGCCCACGGTGAAGGGGAACGTTGGCTATGATGTTTCACGTGGCCCACAGAGATTGGCGGTCAGAGCCATGATACTTTAAGACTCTCAGACTCATCTTTCAGGAAGCTGGACACCCATAAGCCTGGCCTTTCTGAGTATATGGCTATGGGAGTGCTAGTAAATGTTTAGCAGCTGGCCTTCTGGGTGTGAGGCGGGGTAGGGACGGCAAGAAGCTATGATTTGTAGTGTTTGCCACTTCCCATGGTATAAATACTCCCACATGGTCGATTTCAGGCTCCCAATGCAAAGTTGCCGATCATGAGTTGGGAAGAGGCCTCACACATCACTGTCCTGTGCTCTCTTTTCTTCAACCCCTGCTGCCTCTGATCTCATTTTTTGCTCTCCAAGTAAGGCATTCACTGTATTGGTTAAGACTTCCTTTGTGTTGCATGTGACAGAAACTCAACTCAAACTGGCTTAAGCAAAGAAGAGGAGAACTTCTTGGCTCAGGTCTGAAAAGTCCAGGGTGTACCAGCGTCTAAATCCTCCCCCTGTCGGCTCTGTCTTCCCCTGGTGGGTTTGTTCCAGGTGGGGACTCCCGAGTGGGGAAAAGATGGTGGCCTGCAGCCCCGGCTCACTCTCTCAATAGAGTGGCACAAAGGGACACTGCCTCTATCCCAGCAACGGCAGCATCAGCCCCAGGGCTGGTTCCTATCGCCCAGCTTCGGTCACTCATCTTGGGTGAGCTAGTCACAGTGACCCTGAGGGTGAGCTGCCCTGGAGCAAGGTGAGGCCAATAGCGGGGGACCACAGGGTGCTATTCCCAGAAGTAGGGTCAGGCCGGAGAGGCACACTCAGTGCTGTCTCCACTGGGCCTGATGTCATTGCTGTTGACCCTGAACTGATCTTGGCCCCCTGATTCTCATCGCTTTCAAACTCCAAGGCTTTTATGCCCATTGTTGCAGCCAGGCCTCTGCATTGACCCAGTCCTGACCCCCACTGTTGGGCTTCTCCACTACCTTCTCAATCTAGTTCAAAGCGGCTCACCCCACCCTTCCACAAACCAAAAGAATTATCTGGTGTCTCTCCCCGGCCACATAAATTAGTTGGATAATTCCTCTTGTGGCTCACGTCCACATAGGCCAATCTGGTTTTACTTTATTTGTTATTTCCCCCCAAACCCAGTTTCCTACTTCTTCCTCTCCTGCTCAGTTTCCCAGGCTCCCATACCCTCCCCCATCTCTACAACTCGTTTTCCAGCCTCTGGTCCTCCTGTTTCAGATTTTCTGTCTTCTTCATTCACCTCTATTGGAAATTGGGTGTCTCCGGGAGCAAAGGAAATGGAAAACACAGCT